GGCCCGGGTGCCTCACAGGCTGTCACGCTGCTCCGGCCTCGGTTTTAAATATTTAATAAGAGAAACGGTCTGTAACTTAGAGAGATTAGCTGCAAGTTCAGAGAATGACAGGGAGCAAAGTCCACCTGTATTTTCCGTGCAAGAAAAGAACAAGGAATTTGCAACTTCCCTTACCTGATTCTCATCAATCCCCCCAAATGGCATAAAATACACATTTTTTTCTATGTCTAATGGCTTTTTATTTGTCCTTGGAAGTTTCTCTTCTAAGTTTGTAAGGTGTTTTTAGCAAGGGAGAAGTGGCATTTTGTTACAGACATGAATAAAAGAAGGTGAACAATGTCATCCTCGCTATTTTTTAATTAGTGCCATAAAATCTTGCTGTGTTTGCAACAAGAGAAGAAGAGGGAAATACAGTTTCCAAGTGTGACATTTACCATAATAACAAAACTAATACGGGAGGGTATTTGTCCTTATTGACCAGATACCGCAATACACTCTGTTCCTTAACCTGAGCTATCAGTAACAATCCAGTGAAGAAGCTGCCCTCCTGACAACTTCCTGATGTCCCACTGTGCTCTGGACTAGCATGCTCCACATAAATCATATCAGCAAAGTCAATTAAAATAATAAGTATTTTAACACTTCCCATTACAACACATAAGAATACCAAGTAGTTTGATGAAATTATTGGTGTTTTTTGTTTGTTAGTACTTGGCAGAAGTATGGTGGGTTTTTACCTGGAAATTTGTTCTTATATAAGCATCTGTTGTTGGTCAGAAGAATGAATCTGATGCTCAAGTTCAGCTTTTACTGCTCCCTCATAAAGGCATGCTATCATTTGCTATTCAGGTTGAAGAGAAGCTGTGCATTATACATCAGTCTGTACAAAATGACTGTGCTTTATTTCATAGGCTATAGCAGTATAAGCTTGAAATAAAATTAAATTTGAAAGTCCCTTAGATGCAGAGATGAGCTATTAAATGTTATGCCTTTGCCATTATCTAATAATTTTTACAAAGTGTAGTATTCGTCTTTTAATATCTGTTCAGTTATCAATATCAGTCTCCTGTTACCATCTGTCTTTTGGATATTGGGGGATACATCCATGCCATTCAGTGCAAGTGTCTACTTGCTGCTCCTCAGCTTCCTGAAGAATACTCTAAAACTCTCTCATCCACTTTCCCCAGATTTGAAATAGCGGGGAGCATTACACAGCACCAGTACATTGATGTGTATGTTGAGCCAGGTCTCTCTAGCAACTATAACAATTAATTGCTTTTAAATTGCTTTCATTTTAACATACAAGTCTAAATCAGAGCTAATCGGATGAATTATTGGCCGTAATTCAACAGGGGAAAAAAAAAAAGTCAAGTCACAAAACCTTTATGGAAGTAAAGAACAGAGATGCCTCAGGTATAGTAACATGGAACCTACATCCCCTTCCTACCCTACGCAAATTTGGTCAATAATGACTGAAGATCTGACTTCTGCTTGTGTGAAGTGAGCTTGTGCTCTTGGATCCCTTGTCCTATGACAACTGTGAATTGTATCTTTAAGACAGAAACTTCTATAAGATGGATAGGGAGCAAAATCATTGTTTGAGTATAAATAATACAGTTTGTCCCACGTATGTAGGAAAAAATCCCTAGGAGAAATGGTCCATTTTTCAGAGAGAGATCAGAATACTGACTATACCTGCACCAGTTTTGTTTGGGACATTCTTTCAGGAGCGTGTGTTAATGGAAGAAAAGTGGGTTCGTCCTTCAACATCTCTCAGTGTGTGTTTAGTCATTAATAACACTGCCACAATCCATCAGCTTATCATGGATAAGGCACTTTGCATCAACCTGTTGCGGGGATCTGGTTGAGTGCCTCCATTTGCCCCCGGCTCTGTTTTTCTCTCTGGCTGAGATTTTGGTTCAGCATGACCTCAGGTAAATTTGATAAGCAACACAGTGTTGTATCTGAGCGACCCTAACCCACTCATTTGCGACATAGATGTAGACATCCTCTAACATGAGAGTGATTTTATTTGATTGTATTCATATCAGAGTTCTGATACATGCTGAATTTAGTTCATCTGAAGGGCCCTTTGATGAGTAATACATCTGAGTTGTTGGCAGCTTGATGCTGAAGTCACAAAGAGTGTATCTGTTAGAGGCTCTGGATCCAATTTGTGCTATTGTAGACCTCTCCAGTGCTTGTACAGGGAGAGCTCTAGAAATAATAGGTGTTGAGAGTAAAAATACTCTCTCATCACTGTCGCATCATCTGTTGTTTCTCCCTTATAGCCAAGACTTCTGCAGGCTCAGCTCAAGGTGGTGGATTTGTCTCTACAAAGTGTTAGTACTGTAGTGTGGGCGCATCGTCCTCAGGTTTATGTATGCTCTTAGCAGCCCTGTTTCATTATTTGGGCACTGAGGCAGTCAGCACTAAGAGCCAGAGCCATAAAATATTCAAGCATCCAGCTTCCACAGAGAATCAATAGAGGACCTGAGTATCTCTGTACTTCTGTGGATCTTGACCTGAATGACTTGTCATGACTTGTCATAGGGCAAGTAATCAGCAGCAGAACGAGTAATTAAAGATGAAGCCCTAAAGTCTTGGGTCAGCGCCCTCCCTGTTTAATTAATTTCACTCCAGCCCTGTATTGTGTTCTGTCTGGTTTGTTTCAAATTTTGGAACTTTTTGAATTGATCTGTAGCTCAGGTATTTGGGAAACTTTGTTTGCTCATACAGGACATTTTAACTGACTTCTTTCTATGATCTTTGACAGATTTGAGTTTCTAAGAAAAAGGCAGAAGACCCTATCAGACAACTAATTTGTTCAGTAAAAATTTTTCTGCTGGCTGTTACCAATGTCAAGATGAAGGAAATCTTGTTTCAGCAGCTTTTTTTGTGAAATCTTGATTGGCGTATTTTTTCCAAAGTATAGCCAAGCTCATTACCCCAGCCCAGCTCAGTGTTTGTTGTTTAATTTGATGAACAGTCATTGTAAAAGTCAGATAACAACTTGCACTTTGTGGGAACCATTTTGCATCAAGAAATGAAAACATATTGCAAGTCCTAGTTAGCGTTTCTGACAGGGTTTTGATGTTTTCAGCTATGTTTAGAGATTCGTAATTGATCATCCATGAGGGGGACTGCTGTCCTTCACAGGTCACTGAAAACAGCGGTGAGCTATCAAGCTGTCTATTTGTAAAGGTTATAGATGTCTTTTTTTCCAAGTTGCCGATCGTGTTTAAGCAGCCCTTAGAGGCAGTACCTTTAACCAAGCAACGAACCGATACATTTGGAAACATAGAACCTTGGTTTTCAAAATTTCATAAATCTCAATTGTGTTTTCTTAATTCACATGCTGCATTATGATTAGCTACAGTACCTGAATTCCTTCTTTGTCATTTTATTTTTGAAGTCTTTAAAAGTGAGAGGCTAGCTGACATAGAATTGACTCATCTTGGACTGAAGTGATTCTCAAAATTAATACATGTGAATTAACATATATACTTTAAATCATCATACATGTAATCTACTGAATTGAATGTCCTTAGATAATAAATTCTTGTTTCTTCTGTATTGACTATAAAAGAGGCTGAGTTGCACATTTCTAAGTCATATTTTTTTAAATTATGTGAGAACACAAATTAATTCAGAAAGGAAAGGCATAACTCATTTTACTCAAAAAGCTGCTGAATTGCTAAATCTTAAAAACTCATTATTTTTGAGCTGTGATGGCCTTTGGAAAATTTCAGCCTCAGAAAAATTTGACTTAGAAACTTGTGAACAACTGAAGAAGGGGGGATGGAGGAGAGGAACTGGTTGAAATGTGGTGTATTTGGTAGTTGCCCACAGTAAAAGCAGTATTACAGTATCACCATGCTGCTCATGTTTGGCTGGGGAGGAGAGTGTAGCTGTCTGCAGGTGTGCACATACAAACACCCACAGCCATAGACACACACGTTTTCCAACTAGTCTTGAAAGCAGTCAGCCAGTTGTGAATTTCCCTTTGCTATTTTCTCATGGTCAGCCTCTTCACTAAGACAGTTTTAATTGTATATGAAGGCACCTTTACTCAGAACGTTAGCTGGAGCCTCAAGCCTGCCAAATGGCACGCCAGCTGCATCCTTGGTTCAGTGGAATTTACAGGCTGAATGACCTATCTCAAGGTAAAAAGAGAAACTAAATCATAGCTGAGCTGACACTAAAATGTGATCTTTTCTGAGAAAATGGGCTTACTTTCATGCATGTGGAAGACAATGCAGCCTGTCCTTGATTCCTCTTTGGATAAGGGGTGCTTTAGAGGCGCATTGTTTAAATCTCTCACCCATCCAATAGTAGTATTAGCAATTGAATCAGAACAAAGATATTAACCTTTGATCTGAGGTTATTTGTCTCAATGCAGCTCATAATTACGAGAAAAAATTACGGTAATAAATAACAAGTGAATAAATAAATAAATAAATGTGCAAGTGAAAGTCATTTTCTGCAATAGATATTGACCGAACTTATGCACCCCTGCCAGGACAGGGAATAATGAAGGTTAAAAGATAAAGTAATAAAAATATAAAGAGGGCAGGGTAAATTTCCTTGCCATTGAGTCATTGGATTTCTGTCCCTGTTCAGTAATGTCAAAATACCTAACAGATGTAGCTTAATAAAAGGATCAGCTGATTCAACACATACGCAGTATTATATAGAGAAAAGATACAAAACTATTTTAGGCCTGATCTTGTAAACATGATGCAAGTAGTCTGTGAGAAAAACAGGAGTGCATCCTTTCTATGTTACAATTAATAGAAAGCACACTTCACTGCACTTGATGAACTGTTCTGAAAATAAATAACTGTAAGTTGTACTAAGAGGATATTATCTAGAATCATTAATGTCATACATCCTGACTTTTCTAACTTTGTTTTCAGGTGGATATGTTGCTAACAGTCTAGCAATTATGACAGATGCACTTCATATGTTAACTGACCTTAGTGGTATTATTTTGACCCTGCTTGCTCTCTGGCTGTCTGCAAAATCTCCCACAAAGAGGTTCACTTTTGGATTTCATCGCTTAGGTATGTAGATATCAGCTTTTGCTATTAACAGAGTATTTTAAGCAACAACTGTAAAGATCACCTAATTCTAGAAGAATAAGTAACTAGAAAGAAAGTAGCAACAAACCTAAAAGTTGCTTTATGTTTAACACCTTGACTGTGATGTCCTTTCACTGGCCATTGTAGATCCATTACATAGGTTGTATTGCCACAAGGGAATGGATAATAAAAAAATAAATTTTTGAGTTTTAAACCTCAGCCAAAAGTGAGCTGTGGTGGCAGAGTTTCACTCGCTGGGAGCAGGATGAGTCTCTCCATCTCTGTGGAACTAGGACTTACCAGATTCAGAGTTAAATTCTGAATGCTTGATTCATCTTCCATCTTAAAGAGGAAGGTTAGGGAATTGGATACATGGTGACACTGTAAATACGACTTCCTACAAATGAACCATGCCCTAAAAAGTTTAAAAAGAGTTCAGCGGAGGGAAGCTGTCCCCAGCAAGAACAAGGGTGGCTATCCAGCTGTGTTTCACAGCCCATCCATAGTTACTGGGCTGTTGGATTAGGTCTGGCCCCTGCACACCTTTGTGCTTTGAACTGAGGCTGTTGAGCAAAAGAGGGACGCATTCTTTGGTCACTCACTGCTGTACCACTGTTAGTGCTTGTGTGACACACTCAGGAGCTTGTTGTTGCGGTGCAGGAGCTGTACACATCAAGTCAGTTGTTTTTCACAACAGGTTATTGTCAGTGCCCAGGATTTACAAAGTCTCATTGACTTCAGTAGAATTAGGACACTAGAAAAAGGTCCTATTCAATGTGAAAAATGACATCTTAATCCAGAACTAAAAAGTTATGTAAAGCATGTTATCGGAGAGCTCTTCCTTGCCAGAAGCTGCATAAATCAGTATTCCTTTTGCACTCCCCAGATCACACAAAGCGGAGGTCAGAATGTCCCATGGTTTGCAATACAGTAAGTTACTTAACCTCTGCCCATTTTAGGTGTCTGTAAAAAGAAGTATAAACAGAATTATGTACTAAACCTTGGAAGGGTATTTTCAGATTCATTACTGCATGTTTGGAAATTTAATGATAATAAAGGGTATTCTCGTGTGGTTGCTAACTGGATATAATAATTCATAATATATAGCTGCAGGTCTTTTAGACATTTTACCAAAAGCTTCAACCTTTATTTTTCATTAAACAGATCGTTCCTAGTGTCACAGTTTGCTACCTCTGCTCTATATATCCTGTAGCATATATTTTCCAAAGAGTTTCAGAGTCTTGTGTAGTCATTATTTGCAGTTCTTATTTTGGCTGCTAGAACAGCAGTAGAATTTAACAACTCCATCACTCCTAGTCATTTGTCATCAGTTAGTCACTAATGCATGAATGCATAACTCTGTACACTAGCAAAGATCTTTGGGGCTTTAGCAAGAAAGCATTAACAATGCCAGCATTTCCCATTACAAACTTTTCTTTCAAGAAGTTTTAATTTTGCGATAGGAGCTCCCCTAATACTGAAACCTGACCTTGCAGATATGCCCCTGGCATTTGCTCATACTCTCCAGAAGGATGCTTGCTAGCATTTATATATACTTTAACCCTACTTAAAAATCATTTGAATAGTTTATATGTCTTTGTAACTTTTCTAAAACCAAGTAGTACATACATCGAACATGCCATGGCCTAGCTTAAAACAGAAGTTAATCTTAAGAAAAATAAAAGAAACTGACTTAACCATTAAAATCTTACTCAGTTCTTTACATTTTCACTGACTTTTCGATTAATTTGAGGGCTCCATAGCACTTTGCAAACACAAATCCCTGAGGATTCCTGCCACCTCACTTTCTGTATATATATTTTTTTTTTCCATTTTACTGCCAAGAAAAATACTGGCCAGACTGATCCAGTGGTGGCCCATGGGCTGGATCTGGCCCATAGAATTAGATTGTATTGCCCACCATCTTCTCCCTCAGAGAAGCTACAGGGAGCAGCTTCTCAGTTCTGCAACAATTAACTCCTCCTTTTCTGCTGCCCAGTGACAGTAGGTGGTCAAACACTAGAACAGGTTGCTGAGTCTCCACAGTTGGAAATTCTCAAAACCCAACTGGACACATCCCTGAGCAACTTGCTGTAGTCGACCCTGCTTTGAGCAAGACTACAGAGTTTCCAGGAGTGAGTTCCTACCTCAGCCATTCTGGATGAGTAGCAGCAGCGCAGCTCGCTCTGTAGGAGGAGAACTAGAGCCTGGGGGTGGTGGGAAGGGTTTCTGTGGCTGCAGTGAGGAAGGGGAAGTGGGTAAAGGCTCTGCAAGAGACTCCCAAACCTTGACCTAGGCTCTGCAAGTACAGAAGATGGGATGGTTCAAAATTACTACACAGAGTTTTTTTAGTCAGCTTTGTGAGATTTATTGGCCTGATTTTAGGCACCCAGTCGGAATGCCATGGCTCTAGGGCCCTGTTTCACACATCAGTGAATGCTGGCAATGGATCAAAGTTGCTTCGAGGGTATATCCTCGCTGTAACACATTTTTCCTAATAACCTATACGTAAGAAGCTTGTCAGCAAATAATACGAGCTCAATAATAGCTTGAGTTTCATGAGAGAGATGTTAAAACATGACAGAGTGTTAAAAATAGGGTACAGATTGAGCATCCGTCACAGAAAAATTGTGGAACATCTGTTTAAAGCTAGGAATATGTGCAAGAACTATCTCATTGCTGACCTGCTTTGCATTAAGTTTTAAGATAATCTATACATACAGTAAGCATGAAAACATTCTAATGAGCAATGTTTCTAGTGCTCTATCACTTTTGTTTGCAGAACGATGAATTTTCAAACTTGTTCCTGTAAACATTGCATTGTAAAGACAACAGACGTATTAGTTGTCTAGTCAAATTCCAGAAGGAAATTAGCACTAGTTTTCATCTGTTTGAATTCTCTTTGAGTACATAATATGTATACTCCATCTTCAGTTTTATTCCATTTTCAGTGGTGAAAAGGAAGCTGACAGATTCAGGAATGGGTTAGAAAAGTGAAGACAAAATAATGGAAATTGCAGTCATGGCAAAAAAGGATTATATTCTTGCAGCCAAAAATAGTTCTGTTTCACCACCAAGTGGAGATACCTCCTTCTCAGCAAGACACTGAGCAGATCTAAGCATAGATACAGAACCTGGCATTTTTCCATTGCTGCAGAAACAATGTTAGTAATGACAGAATCAGTCAGTCCACTGAGACAGTGCACAGTTCATTTCACAAGAAGTGAAAGATCTCAGCACAAATCAACAATGCTGATATAACAATGACTCAATGACTCTGTGAAAGAAACTGTAAGGAAAACGCTGACTTCCATTGCAGAAAACACGGTTTTAGATTGTAAAACCACAGTATGTTATTTCTCTGGTAAATGCTAATGTGCTATGGCTTCACAAATTTTTTAAAAAGCATTCTGGAAAACCTTCTAAGCAATGTATTGTGTTCTTTTAAGGCTGTTGCCCTGAATAATCTGCTTGCTTTGTAAAGAACACTACCACTTGCATGGGTATTTCCAGGATTTTCAAGTTGCTCTGAAATGATCCGAGATTGTGACAGTTGCCTTTCAGAGCCTTGTTACTGCCTGGTAATACTGGTACTCTTCCAGGCACTGCCACACTACTGAACAGCTGAATGCGTTGGTGTGAGTTTCTTCTCCCATAATGATGTTAAAAATTCAGTGTATGGATCAAGTGATTTTGGTGATATTAAAATGCTTGTATAGCTGCATGTTTTTTACTGTAATATTCAATAAATAAAATTAAAGCAGTTCTGTGTTAGAAATGACACCTTCTGCAGTAACCAAAGTTGTACTACACACTGACAGATTCAAAGCAGAGGGAGAAGTGAGGCAATTCTCAGATCAGTGTTCTTGGAGCTATAGTATAGCCAAGAGCAGAATTTTACCCCTGCTGGGGAATAAATCAGGGCAACATGTGTGGAACAAGGGGGAAGAACAACCATTACGATTCCAAGTAGATTAATTCCAACTCTGATCTTTGAATTCACACAGGAAGGCTAAGATCCCAGTGATCCATCTGGCAAGTGACAGTAATGAGCATTACGCATAATGATTACAGATTACTCAGGCATGGCTGCGGATTTACATGCAATACAATGGAGCTAGCATTAAGGTTTTCCCAGTGCTTTTTGTAAAGCCCGGTATTAACTTGCTTGTAACTGAGAGAGTCTTTTAACTGTGCCAGTGTTCTCTGTCAAGTATCTTGCCTTTTTTTGTGTAGGTTTTTTTTTTTTTTTGGGGGGGGGTGTTTGTGGGATTTTTGTTTGTTTGTTTGTTTGTTTCAGCTACAATAGGGCAATAATTTTCAGAATATGAAGCTAGAGGGTAAAAGTACTTTTATGTTAAAAGGAATCTAGTGACCTATTTGGAAATGTCTATATTCTTTATAGTAGGACCTTAAAACTGTAGTGTGGACTCATCCTCCTCAGGTTTATGTATGCTATTAGCAGCCCAATTTCATGACTTGTGTACTGAGGCAGACAGCACTATGGTCCCAATCCATAAAATATTCAGGCCTATTTACCTCACATCAGAATAGCAGGAACCTTGTAAAGAGCTGTAACCACTTTCCCCAGATGTGAATGGCAGCAGAAGGTGCAGGACAACGAACTATTAAGAGTTTTTATTAACTTTCTGATTTTCTCTTTATTTAGATGTATGTGCCCTTTTGAAAGTCCCTGCTGATCAGAGAAAATTCCTACACCAAAATGTTGACCATAACACTCTTACTTTTGTGAAATATGAGTATTTGGTAAACATCAGATAATGTTAAAACAGTGTATTACAGCAACAGAGAAACTTGAATTAAGCAATCCTTCATAGCTGAAATCTGCAATAGGTAACATGTATGTACACGTATGTCAAGACGCTTAGGAGTAATATGTCTGACAAGTTTGTACTGTTCAGTTTCTTACTCTTTTTGTAATTTTTTTCTCCATCCTAAATACAAAAGGATATATAAAAGTAATTTCTAAATCCAGCTTAATACCATGGACACTTGAAATCAAGCTTTCTCTGAGTTGTAGGTGGGCTGGTGATGTTTGAGATCACCTACCTTCCTCTCCCCTGGACAGGGCCTTTGTCTGTGGCTTCTCAGGCAAAAGTTCTGGGTTGTCTGAAGAAGTCACAGTCATCACCGGTGCAGAAGTTTTCAGGGAAAACATAATCTGAGGGATATACTGACAGGGAAGTGTGAAGGAGTTGATTAGAACAAAGTCCATTTGTTAATCCTATTTTACGAGTTTTATTTACTGCACAACAATTTTATGCATTATAATAAACATAAAATAGTTAAAATAATTAACGCTCTGTCCACATTCTAATTTGGAAATAGAAATAGATCTGAGAGTCACTTTTGTAACGTTGTTTCCTTTCTGTTTGCAGAAGTATTGTCAGCCATCATTAGTGTACTGCTGGTCTATATCCTTATGGCATTCCTCTTGTATGAAGCCGTTCAAAGAACTATCCATATGGACTATGAAATAAATGGCGATATCATGCTGATTACAGCAGCCGTTGGTGTTGCAGTTAACTTAATGTAAGATCTCCCTTTCTCTCCATTAACACTCATAAATGTATTTCTGAATAAGCTGCTAATTCATTCATGGCCTGTAACTTTCTCTTGCGATGTAATTTTGCTGGACCTCTTTATTTTTATAAATAAGACAAGAAATTACACTGAGTATTACTTTATCAATTCTTTGGTTTAAAAGGAAAGAAAAAGAAAAAAAGCAAGAAAAACCCCACCCACCAAACCCTGAAGCCTGTTTCTTGGAGTGTTTTTCTTCTTTCACTTTCAGAATGGGGTTTTTGCTGAATCAATCTGGCCACCTTCACTCCCACTCCCATTCCCACCCTCACTCTCATGTACCTCAGTCGAACTCTCCTAACACAGCCCGCAGCAGTAGCCATGGACACAGCAGCCTTGCTGTGAGAGCAGCGTTTGTACATGCCCTTGGGGACCTGGTGCAAAGTATTGGTGTGCTCGTAGCTGCATACATCATACGCTTTAAGGTAAGGAATGGCTAGTCCTTGAGGCAGGGTGGAATTCTTTTCATTTCAACTCCAGTGATTAAATTAAAAAAGGACTTGTTTTTTTGTAAGTTAATAAAAAAAAAAACTTTGTGATATTCTGTTACAAGCTTCATACATTCATGCAAAATAAGCAAAGACTATTATGTATTTTGTAACTATTCAAACAAAAAGAAATATTCATGAAAGTTGGAGCTAGAAGTAACTGCGTTTTCTGAGTCACATTTTTATAAGTGAGTTTATTTTCATACATCCTTCAACACTTTGAAACTTCCCTTGCAGCCAGAATACAAGATTGCTGATCCTATATGTACATACGTATTCTCCATACTGGTGATTTTGACAACAGTTCGAATTCTGTGTGACACAGGAGTTATTATTCTGGAAGGTAAGATCTATGCACAGTCTGCAGTACTTTACATGTCAAATACCAGTCGGTATTGGCACTTTTTTGGCATCACGATCACCGTCTCTAACAAAGTGGATTGTGTCTGCAGACCTGTTTATCCTGCTGCTGCTTTTGTCTATTGGTTCTTGGTGGCTCATCTAAGTTGCAGCAGTCTTTAGGTGTCTTTGACCTCTGCCAGAATGACACAAATCCTAGCTCTGCTCACTCTACCATCAGGAGACAGTAAAGTGAAATGTACAGAACTTCCTTTTGTGTCTGAGTGGCTATCAGCTAAACTAAGGGAACATTCTCCCAGACTGAGTTCTACACTTTCACTTTAATTACTTGTTAAATTAAAGTTAAATTAAAGTTAAAATGAAAGTGAATGCATGTAAAAGGAGGAAGCAAGCTTAGCCCAAATGGCTGGACAGGTGGTTCACGCCTGTCCTGTCTTCCCCTTTTCCACAAGTGCTGTTGTATTACTTCTGCTGTTGTGTGCTTCTACTGTTACCATAGGGGAAGCTACAAGGAAAGAGCAGTGTAAAATGGAAGAAGAAAAAAAAAGGAAAGAAAAAGCTGAACATAAGCTGAAGAATCTTACTTCATGTGGTGACTTAAAGGGAAAGATGCCAGCAACACATCTTTGCATTATCATGGCTAACACGCCAACTATTACTGCTTGATCTAGTACTTTAACCTTATGAAAGGTTAGGGATGGGAGAAAAATCCTAGGTTTTAGTTGCACCTTCCTAGCTGTCTTGTGAGCTATTATTGACTTTACTTTTATTATGTTACGAGGTGAAAATAAGAACCTCAAAATCTTCAATGTCAAGTGCTTTTGCTGTCATTTAGGAGAAAAAAAAATCCAATGAAATGGAAGTTCACTGAGAAGACAAAAATCGTGAAATTTGCTTAAGAAACTTCAGTTAGCTCCAAGGCAATAGCCAAGATTTAGCTGAAGAAAACAGATAAGACAAACTAATGGTGTATCAGATTCCAGATGTTTTGAGTTGTAGCTGTTTGCATAGGTATCCCAGTTGGCATAAAAATCTCCAAATTAATGATGTTATTGAAAGTGATAATAGGTGGGCTTTAGGTGGGCTTTAGCATTTCCAACTCAAATTCAGGACAATGGAGTTGCATTTATATTGGAGACTACTGCTACAACATCAAGGTCCTTGGAGTTGTATCAGTTTTCAGTATTAATTTTAACCTAAGTTGCATCATTCTACTAGGAATGCTAAATTAAAAACATAAATGATTATCTAATACAAGGAATGATATTCTCGCTTTTAATATAGATTTATAAGGCAGCATGGAGGTCTATCAATAGCATGATGTAGACAGCAAAATTTAAGTCCACATTTCCTGGGAAAAATCAAGCTGTGGAAATAATACCAGGCAGTTACCTAGTTAGTTATCAGCTAAATAATTTTCAGTGGCCTTCACTAGAAGGAAAATTTTGTTTAATATGAGACAATCCTAGACACTGAACTTTCAAAAGAGATGGTACTGGAACTAACATAATTTAAAAGACAGTAAAGCATCAGGTTCAGACAGGAGTCATCCAAAAATTCTGAAGAAATTTGAGAAGCGAGTGGCTGAACTCATAGCATATATAATCAAACTCCATAAAACTGGTAGATAAGCAGTAGAAAGCTATGATAGAAACAAAACTATTCAGAAGCAGAATTTATTCAGTATTTTTGTACTAGTTTTTGACCTATGTTTATCATCTAAAATTTTGATTCTGCCCTTTGTACAGCGAAAGGGTGGAGCAGGGAAGCTACAGAGGTGCTGTAGCTGCTGGAAATACTACATCCAGAAGGACTTGGTCAGTGCAATCATTGATTTACAAAGATGCCACACTGTAAGACAAAAGTCATATGTGTTAACCACTGCAGATGGATTACTATGAGCATTTGAAAATTATACCAGTTGCCTGAAGAGGGAAGTTTCAGCAGACAGCAGCAGACAGGCTCTAGCATTTTTTTTTTTAAGATTCTGGTCTAAGCAGTTCCTAGGGGTTAGAAGCCGCAGTAGAGTTGTCTACACAAGTATATTGCTCCAAAGGATCTAATGCTGGCTATTGCCAAAGAGTGGATTCTGGACAGGACAAATTACATTTGAGACAACACTGCAGCTCCTGTTCAATTTCTGTATCCATACTGGACTTAATATACCAATTTGCATATTCTTCTCTATTGATAACTTGGAAGTTACTAATCACTTCCAACAGCACACATTATAAACTCTTTTGACATTGAGATATGTCATGACATTTTAAAGGCCACTGAAAGTTTGCAGAAGACAGAATTAATTTTGTCTCGTGTTTGGTATCACAGGAGTTCCAAGGCATTTAAATGTGGATCGCATTAAGGAAGACTTGATGAAAATTGAAGATGTTTATTCTATAGAAGATTTAAATGTTTGGTCTCTCACTGCAGGAAAAACAACTGCCATAGTCCACTTGCAACTAGGTAAGCTGCTGTATCACATAATTCTAAATTAAATCTAAGTATAGAAAAAAACCCACACACTTTCTCTTCATATTGTTATTTAAGTTGAACCAAGACATACAATTTTTGGGAAAAAAAATCTGCTAACTATGGTTTTGTACAGTGAAGTATAGAACCCATTGGCCCAGAAAGACACAGTGTAAATGAGAACTGTGCGAAGAAAATATATTCATACTGAAACATCCAGTACAGATTCTTTGCGGAGGGGGATAAGGAGGGAGGAAAGGAAGAATTTCTCCTCAGAAATTCCCTTATTTTGTCCAGGGAAAGATGGGGGAAGTTCTAATGTGGAACAATCTGACGTATGAAAAATAAGTGTTTTGCCAAAACGTGCTGATTTAGACATGTAACAGTACCATTTCTTAGTAAGAAAGCTCAATTTTTTTTGAGAGGTGGGGGGTGCTGTCTGACACACAGGGTTTTATCAAGATGTGATTCTAGTTACAGGATGTAGACCTAAAGGTGTGAAATAATATATAGAGAGTACATAGTGACCACAGAACAATACTAAATTAATGAGTGTGAACAAAGATTATTCTAGTTGGCAACACTGTGATAAATTTGAGAACAGCTGGATTGTCCAGGTTTCTTGAGGAGTGAATTCTATTAATTATCTTCTTGATTTTCCAGTTCCTGGTAGTTCATCTAAATGGGAGGAAGTTCAGTCCAAGGCCCGACAACTGCTGCTGAACACATTTGGAATATACAAGTGCTCTGTCCAGCTTCAGAGTTATAAACAGGAAACAAGCAAAACCTGCGCAAGTTGTCAGAGTTCCAGTGCCTAATTTCATATGTTTTGGGAACTGCTGCCTTATTCTTTATCTTATAGTCAAAGACTGAGAGCAATAAATGCAAAATGAAAATGATCAAATAGAAAACATTAATATGTGGATTTGTACCATGTAACATGCAGCAGGGAGAACTGGTGCTGCAAAAAGTGCAGTGGTTGCCCTACAGAACTCTCTCCCTTGTACTAGTTCATTGAATTTATTATGATTTGAGACAAAGCTATTTTCAGATATTGTTTACAGACTGCAACATGGCTCTGCACATACCTCACAAATTACAGTCCAATATTGTCCTTTAGTAACTATGTACCACAAAGCACCTGCACTCCAAATGGAGCATCAGTTATTCAGTACTTCAATTAAAGTCTCTAATGCTGATCATGCCAGGGTTCCATAATATGTCATGATCCCTGAATTCATTATACAGTATTTTTGCAATAGTAATTTTCATACAGTATCTTAAAACTCTAATGCATACAGTGCTAGCTGAATTCTTTTGGAAACTGTCTCTTTGGGGACACTGCAAAATACAGAATTTACTGTACCCAGACCAGAAAGTTAGCTTTAATCTGGGCATTCAGAGATCCAGACAGGAAGATCCTTGCCTGGACTTCTGGTATTTAACTAGAGACCCAACACTGGACCCAAAGTGTTTTAAGTGATTAGTTATCTTTAATGTATTTTAGAATAGGGTTTATACGTTAGAAACAGGTTATTTATTTTACAAAGTTTTGACTTGTAAGATGAATTTATTATTAATAATCTTGAATGTCTAAGCCAACGTTTGATTCACATTAAAAGGCCAGTTGATTAGCATGCATTCTAATTAATAAATGTCCTGTAATTGATAATTTTTCCACTATTGTTTTGCTTTAAAAGTCCAATGATAGAAACTATGCTTGACATGGAGATACTCTCTAATACAATCTACAGACATACAAAATACATGCATCTAACAGGAAAGTGGGGAGGAGAAGTTTTAGGTATGTACTATTCCCTCAGTCACAGGTCTCTGACCGTTCCATCTTTGCTTTGAGCACAGTATGGCCGTATCCTGACAGCAATGCCACTGCAATAGCAGTCCCCACTACCTAGCTTTATGAATAAAGCAAAATCCAAGCAAGCTTGGTAACCTAATGGTGTTGGACAACAATATCATAACAATCCACAGAGGTAGAAAGGCCTCTTCTTATTTATAGAGGGAATAGGCAATTTGAAAAGACTATTTATTCATCCGGACACCTCAAAGTCCACAAAACTGAATTGCTTAGCCTCATGGTGGAATCCCTGAACTTTGAATGTGCACAGGATAATAAAACCTGACACTAAGCTATCCTACACCTCCATGCTCAGATTTATGCCTGCTTCTGAAGTCATTTGCATTGAAGAAGCTACGGGTAACAAGAACATGACCTGCAAAGTTCAGAAGATGGGAAGAACTTGGCTTCAAATATATTTTGCTTATTCTGTACTTTGATCTTTATGCAAAACTTCCACTGACATCAAAAGTAGTTCTCTGTGTGGATCAGAAAAGACAATTTTTGCCCAGTAATGGATATTGTGATACTCAGCTATGAATACTTAAGCTATTGTCTGTTTTGAAATTTGCTAGGGTTTCACATATTCATCAGGCTGATTTATACCTGCAATTGGTGGTAACAATCTTGGCTTCTTCCCTTTTTTTGAGGTAGAGGGTCACATGATGAATTTTTATTGGTGAAAACCGACAGCACAGTATTAATTTGGACAAAGTGCACATAACACTGGACTATGTTTGTATCTGTTCTGGCAAGAAACAGGAACACTTGAGTACAGCATGGGAGCACGTACAGCTCAGAGGCAAAGTTGCCCTGTACTTGGGAAGTTAGTGCTTCAATACAATCACTGTCATTAATTAAGCCATACCACAGTTCATGAAGAATGTTCATCCCATCCTTATGAACTTACTATTAAAAAAATACCACAAACAAACAACAGGTATTTTGCACATACTAATACTCAAATCGGTTTTAATTAAATTGGAGTTTACAGTCGATGTAATTAGAAGTTGAAGTACAGTAGACATGTATTGTATTTGAAGTTTTTTAATAATTTACTACACATTTGTTTAACTGAAGAAAAAAGCAGAAGTGTGTTGCTTTATTGTGGGTTTTATTAAATCAATTGTTAAACCACATTGTTGTCTTATAAAATATTTATTTGTATTGCTGTCTCTTATCATTGATAATTACAGCAGCTGTTTTTTGAAATGTCTGAACACTCAAGCTTAACTTGGTTTGGAGATGCTATATATAGAATGAATTATGTCTCCCTCTTTATTCAGAACAATTTAAGTCTTGTTATTTCCCATGCAATAACATCTACCTAGACTTTAGGAGGGCCTTCGACACAGTCTCCCACAGCATCCTCCTAAATAAATTGGCTGCTTGCGGCTTAGACAGGTGGACTCTTCGATGGGTAAAAAAATGGCTGGATGGCCAGGCCTAGAGAGTGGTGGTCAAAGGAGCTAAATCCAGTTGGTTGGCGGTCACTAGCAGTGTTCCCCAGGGCTCTGTTTTGGGGCCAGCGCTGTTTAACATATTTATAGATGATCTGGATGTGGGGATCGAGTGCATGCTCATTAAATTTGCACATAACACCAAGTTGGGTGGGAGTGTCAATCTGATGTAGGGTAGAAAGGCTCTGCAAAGGGACCTGGACAGGCTGGATAGATGGGCTGAGACCAACGGCATGAGATTCAACAAGACCAAGTACTGGGTGCGTCGCTTCAGCCACAAAAACTCCATGCAGTGTTACAGGCTGGGGGAAGAGTGGTTAGAAAGTGGCCCAGCAGAAAAAGACCTGAGGGTGCTGGTTGACAGCCAGCTGAACATGAGCCAGCAGTGTGCCCAGGCAGCCAAGAAGGCTGATGGCATCCTGGCTTGTATCAGGAACAGTGTGGCCAGCAGGACCAGGGCAGTGATCGTCCCCCTGTACTCGGCACTGGTGAGGCCGCACCTCGAGTGCTGTGTTCAGTTTTGGGCCCCTCACTACAAGAAAGACCTTGAAGTGCTGGAGCGAGTCCAGAGAAGGGCAACGAAGGTGGTGAAGAGTCTGGAGCACAAGTCTGACGGTGAGCGGCTGAGGGAGTTGGGGTTGTTTAGCCTGGAGAAGAGGAGGCTGAGGGGAGACCTGATCACTCTCTACAATGACCTGAAAGGAGGGTGTAGTGAGGTGGGGGTCAGCCTTGTCTCCCAGGCAGCTAGTGACAGGAGAAGAGGGCATAGTCTGAAACTGCACCAGGGGAAGTTCAGGCTAGAAACGAGGAGGCATTTCTTCACAGAAAGGGTCATTAGGCATTGGAATGGGCTGCCCAAGGAGGTGGTGGCGTCACCATCCCTGGAGGTGTTTAAGAAAAGCCTGGACATGGCATTCAGTGCCATGGTCTAGCTGACATGGTGGTGTTAGGGCAAAGGTTGGGCTCGATGATCCCAGAGGTCCCTTCCAACCAAATCGATTCGGTGATTCTGTGAATTGCACTTTAAAAAATATAAGATGACAAAGTATGGTGAAGGATCAGCCATAAAGCAACTGGCAAAACATTCATGAAACCCTACATTCACCCTTGAGAGGCCCTTGTTATCAACGTCTATAGACTGGAAGTAGTTCAGAGAAAACGCAACAGAAAATGAAATGAGAATAAAGAATAGAAGAATCAATGCTCAGGGAGCCTCTGAAGCGTACGGTCCCTGTTTTAAGGTCTACCTAAAACTCACATGGAAATGTGTATCTGTGTGGCCTACCGCTAATCCTTTTCTTATTCTTTATGAATTATTCAGGGCACAGATTATCTGGCACGGCTATGTGTAATGTAAGAATCCAGTATTCTTCTGAATCTGTTATTAAATCAACATCAAAAGGAATATGCATATTATCACCTATAGTACTCCAAGTGATGGAATAAATGAGCACAACAGAACTATTAAAATAACCAAGCAGAAATAATTAATACTTATATTACTTATAAGGATAGAGAACTATTCAGAAAATAACATTGATTTGGAAACAAACTACCAGGAATTCATGATCTGATACACCATAACAGCACTCTGAAAGCTTAAGTGCCTATAAAAGACATTATTTTGATAGACATTGCAAGGTCATTTTCAGTATCAGCTTAGAGGAGAGGGCCTTAGTATAAAGAAGAATAAGGTCTAATGTCTTTCCTAGCAGCTCTCCAGCGCATCCAGATTATTTCATGTGGCTAAGATCATTTACACACTCTTACACTATTCTTTTCCTTCCACAAAATCCTCTGCTTGAAATGAAAATACATTTACTTAATGGGATTTCTCTCTAACCAAGAGACTCATAAGATTCAAGCAGGTTTCTGCAACTAGTATCCCCGCTTTCCAGAGCTGTGCTGCAATACTCTTGCTGACTGAACAGCTGAAATCCTGTGAAAATTCTGCTGCCTCTAATAGTCTACAATGGGAAGAAATTTTTCCTTTCTTAACCTGTGATTGTCACCTATCCTTTTCTGAAGCGTGGATACAGCTTTGATGACAACCTACTCATATGAGTCAATAAAGCATTTTCATATCGAGTAGACTGCAACCCTCACACCCCACTCTTCTATTCTGAAATGTTCTTATCCTAAGAAGAAAATTAACAGAAACATATTTGTTTCTGAATGTTTTCCTTGCTTAATTCTGTGTAGTTTTTTGTTTGTTTTGTTTTTTAAAATTGTGTTGACACGTAGTCTTTTCAATACTAGAAACATTTCCTTCTATGCCAGCAGAATTACTATTTAAAATGTCATATCTGAATCTGGTCTTCAATTATTTTACTACTGTACATATCTGCTATTTTTTGCAGAATCACTCCCAGCTGGCAGAATGACTAACAATAGCAGTAGGCTGGCATTTAAAAGTAGTTTTGTGACATAAAACCAAAAAACCCAGAAGACACCCACCAACTAATGAGTGGCAAGTCTTTTGTTCAGGTATTTTGGCAGAATCTCATGGGGACATTGCACTGATGCTGCATAAAGCAGGGCTGTTAAATATTATTTCTCTCTACAGATACTACAAGAATATCATAAATGAAGATAGGTTGTTGGGTAATTAGACATGATATGTACTGCAGCAGGTTCTAGACTCCAATAAGCTAGTCCATTGCCAGAGAAGAAGT